TGTGACCTTTGGCGTGCATTACATTTTTAAAAGCCTACAACTGACAAAGAAATAATACCACACAATTCTAAAGCACTTTAGTTCTTGTCCTTTTCAAGATGCTAAAGACAGTTAGGAGCTGCATTGATCTGCCTGGTCGGTGGATCGCACAATTTCTTCTGTGAAGATTTGCATTTTGCTCTTACATTCCCAACACTAATATGCCCATGACTCATATGGAACACAAGAAGTGCAGCTTGAACTTCCCAGTCGGTCATGTGCAGAATGTGCCAACAGCTACACAACCATGGGGAAGCCACATAATGGAAAACAGAGCGTCTGGCAAAACGATTGTCCAATGAATAGCAGGTGACCCAATTGCTGGACCAATAAGCTGCCCAGGACTGGAAGGTATCCAATCTCAAAAATGGGTTATAAATGTCCTTTCAGGGCTTTAACATTTGGAAGCTGAGAGCCTTTGCTGGTCACACTAGGGTGTCAGGTGCTTCTCTGTAGATAAAATCCATCCAGTCTGTTTATTGTCTACCTTTTAAAAGTCACTCCTTGTTTCCAGACAGCTCCAGACAGAGGCTTGCCTAGGGATAAGTATCCATCGTGAATGTGGCTCAGAGACATTGAAAAGAAATAAGAGACAAGAGTAGAAAAGTTTAAATGTCTGCTATAGAAGGGATATCTCACTGTGACAGCTTGGAATGTTGCATTTATTAAACAATGGAGAGCAATATATACCTCTATAATGCATCACAGTTGTGCTTGAAACATTTATCTACAAGGAAAAAGTAAATTGATTTTTAATAACAAGTCAAGCCCTAGCCTTGTTTTGCATAAAAGGTTTTGAAGAAACTAACTTTAATTTTGTTTACTGATATACATGCATTTCTAGAGCTACTAAAGTACTCAGAACTTCCTAGTTTTTCAATTAGAATTAGCCCCAGAGTTTGACTTTAGCTTCTTTAGATGGCTTAACTGTAGATCATAAGTGTGTCCAAACTCAGTTGCCCAGAATTTTTGCTTCATTTTCTACTCTTTCCGGCGGGAAGTTCATTTGTCTGGTAGCAGGATGAATGGCCAACTCTTGACATGTACAAGTTGAAGAAGCTATAATTTGCTCCCCATTTCCCTTGAAGGTCACTAAATTTAATACTGTGATTGAAATTCAGTGTCTTCTATAAATCTCTGGAGAAATGTGATTCCTAAGAAGGCAGATAATTTGGGCAGATATTTTGACCTGTGCACACATGCTAAACAATTATAAATTGTTTCTTTTCATCTATCTCTGAAGTAATGTATAGAAGGACTCCAAAATATAAATCCCTTCTAAAATGAGACAACCAGGAAATAGCCCATGAGGACTGAGGCGTCCATCCACAGCACTGATGCTCCTGTGTGGCTTCAGATGGTGACAAATGACACTGATTTTCAGCCTTGGCTTGATTTGAACTGGTGGCTTCTATCTCTGGCTTCCTTCTTGCAGGAAAAAAAAAATCCTGACTCATTTATCCATTTGGCATCATTCCCAGTCAATGGATGAGGATTACCCTTCTCCCAGGTAACCATCTCAAAGTTTTCTAGCTGAGCAAGTTAGTGTAGAAAATGTTTCAGCATTGGAAAACACGCAATAGAAACTTCCTTTCACTTTGTGCCTGGGCGGGAAAGTAGGACATTTAGGACAAAGTGGTCCTACCTTTGCCTCTACCAGCCCTGGAAGTCTTTGAAATCCCAGAATGGAAAACTGGTCTTATTCCTGGATATGCCTGCAACCACTGGAAGTTTCTAGGTCCTCTCGCTGGGGGTTCCTAGGGGTGCAGCTGCAGGATTGTAACTTTGGAGTAACAGTGACTCCTAGCAGGATGGGAATGGCCATGTATAGGTATCTGAGGCAATAGAATTGAGGCAGCATGACCAGTGAAGGAGGAGCACAACCGAATGAAGCACATTTTAGAGTGATGGGAAGGTCAAAGGCACTGACAAGTACTGAACCCCAAACCCACCTGCCTAAAATTCCTATTGATCTCTGCTAAAAGGGTTTTCCCTAGTTTTAGTCACCCTTCATTTCAGTCTAACTCACACAATCGCCCTGTGTTAGTTTGTGAAAGCTGCTATACCAAAGCACCACAGACTGGGTGGCTCAAAGAAGAGAAAAGTTTATTGTTTCACAGCTCTGGAGGCCGGACATCCAAGATCAGTGCAGCAGCAAGGCTGGTTCCTTCTGACTCATGAGGAAGAATCTGTTCCATGTCTCTCTCTTGGCTTCTGGAGGTCTGCGGGATGGAATCCTTGGTGTTCTTAGCCCAAGAAGCATCACTCTGATCTCTGTCTTCATGTGCACGTGTCATTCTCCCTGTGTGCATCTTTGAGTGTCAATTTCCCCTTTCAGTAAGGACACGAGTCATACTGGAGTAGCAGCCACCTGCTCCAGCAGAACCTCATCTTAACTATTACACCAAACTAATTACAACAACCCTATTCCCAAATTTGGTCACATTCTGGGGATTGGGACTTCAGCATGTAAATCTGAGGAGGGTCCTGTTCAATGCATAACCCCCTCCCACAATATTTCTGTAACAGAATACATCTTCCTCCTCAGGCTGAGGGGTCAGGGCCTCACCAACCAGGGTACTAATAGGGGCCAGAGGCCGTTTGAGGTAACACAAGATCACAAATTCAGGGATATGCTCAAACTGCAGAAGCAAAAAGGAAATCAGAAACCAATTAGCTAAAGAAAAGAAAGTCTGATTGATTGTCAAACTAAAAGGACCACAAGGAAGTATCGAAATGAAGAATAGAGGAAGTTATACAACTGGATTCAGCATAAATATACAAAAAACAGGGAAGGGTAAATAAATGAGTCACAAGTTATCAAACCTAAAGTTTCTAGTAGGTATTTTATCACTCTAAATACTTGTGCTTTTGTGGAAGGATCCACATCTCAACCAGGGTTGAGTCCCACTTGAAAGGAGTTGACTGCTATTTTCTCAAATCCTCAGATACTAATGCTTCATAATGACTCTGGCTGGTGCCTGGTTGTACCATGCTGGATTCATGGGAGAGAAGTTAATACATTCCATTCAAAGGATGCTTTCAGGTGTCAGGGACCTAATTCTTTTCTGGAACACTGGTTAGGAAGGACTGTGACATATTAATAGTCCCATATTTTGATCAGTATCAAAGCAATGTTTCCTTTTTTTAAAACAATTGTTTCCTAGTTTTCTGTGTGCCTGTTTTTATAGAAAGAATTAGATCTATATTTTATTTTTAACAAAGAAGGCAATAATGGCTATTAGAACCAAATCTCCAGATGAAAGCAACTAAATTTCTGAACAAAATATTAAAAATATCTCCCTATAAGTATTTAAATACTGGCAAGATATTGAAAATAATAACCCAAAAAAAATCTAAGGAAAGCTAAAATCCAGAGAGCCAAGCACAACACCCTTAATGTACTTTCACCTGAGGGCACTCACACACCCTGAGAAGCTCCCACTGCAGGTGTACAGCCCAAGGGACAGAGGGCAATGCCCAAGCTCTGTCCCAAGAGGGGACTCTAATGGGAGGCCCTCCTCACATTAAGATAGGGCAATGAGCTACAAGTAAATACTTCCCACACAGATGTGTGGGAGACTGCAGAGGAGGTTGTCTTGGTCCTGTTTGGAACAGGTAGAAAAGAAAAGAAAAAAATACTCCTAAGAAATTGTAGCCATGGGCTCACCTTTACAGCACTGCCTGTGTGATCCCAGTATCCTAAAGTTACATACTTGATTATGGTGGTACCAGATCATAAATACTCCCAGAAACTTGACAATAGCAAATGTATATCCTTCCTGCAGAAAATCACCTTTTTACTGGCCATGAGAAGACTGCTACAATAAAAATGTGAAAAAAATGAACAGCAAATACATAACCAAGAACACAAGGAGAGTAATCACCATTAGCAAGGTTAAGAAGAAACAGCAGACCACAGAGCCATATCCACAAGACTACAGTATTAATATTATAAAATATTTATGTTTATTGTAAGTAGGGAATGGAATATGATTTTGAATAAAGTAACTTAGAACATTGGAAGGAGAACTAAAGAGAACTTACAGAAATGAAAAATGTAGAAAAGAACTTTTTTAAACAAATGAACAAGTTTAACAACATATTAGAAATAACTGATGATTAGAGAATAGGTCAAAGAAATTATCCAGTTGCATCATTGAGAGACAAAAAGAAAGGTGAACAGTATAGTGATTAGTATAAGAAAAATCTAACATATTTAAACAGAATTTTAGAAATAATAGAGATAGAATGGAGCAGAAGCAATATTTGAAAGCATAATGACTGAGAATTTTCCAGAACTGGTGAAAGATTTAGGTAACCCAACAAATCCTAAGCAGGGAAATAAAAAGAAATCTACATAAAGATCCTTCATAGTAAAACCAGATAAAAACAAAAACAAAAATAAAATCTTAAAAGCAACTGAAAAAAAATATGGACAACCTTGAAGATTGTTACTACTCTTAAGAACAGTAATAAAAACAAAACTACAGTGAATTCATAACTTCAACTAAACTGAAAGGAATTGACTGCCAACCATCAAAATATAATTCAAGAACAAGAGTAAACACATTTTTATTAAACATAAGCCAAGGTAATTTACCACCAGCAGACTTTCACAAAGGAAATACTGAAATATATTTTCCAGGAAGAAGGAACGTAACCATAAAAGAAAGTGTGGCATTAGAGACAAAAATGAAAAACAAATGAAAAAAATTTTAAGGGCAATTATAAATATTGGCATAAAAATAAAAAGAATGTCTTGTGTGGAGTTAAATAAAATAATAATACAAATAAGTCAGGGGTGGGAAATAAGACTAATATACCATATTGCACAAGAGAAGAAGAAATACATTGATTAAATTGAGTCTGTGATACATTAAATTTGTACATTGTGATTTCTAAGATAAATGTAACATATATACACAGATATACTAAATGTAAATGGATTAAATGTTCCAGGTAAGAAGAAAGATCAATAGATTTCTAAAATCCCAGTTAGACATTACACATAATGGTACATCCAAAACATGGGATCCAGAAAGGTTGGATAAAAAGACAACAGACTTTAAGGCAATAAATATTGCTAGAGACAAAGAGAGTTCTCTCATAGTTATAAAGGATTTAATTCACCAGGAACATATACACGACGTTTTCATTCACATATGCCTATAGAGGGCTGATTGGTGGTCCTCCAAATGGTATTTTCCCATCCTAATGCCCAGAACCTGTGAATGACATATATACACATGTCAAAATTCATCAAACTGTACACTAAGATTTGTGCATTTTATTGTGTACCTCAATATATTTAAAATTTTTAAGTGCAAAAAATTCAGCTGTTTACTTTAAAAAATAGGGCACATAATGGCCATGAATACCAATGAGTTTATTCTGGGAAGCAAGCTTGATTTGATATTAGCAAATAAATTAATATACCTCATCTCCAACAGATATAGGTTATCTCAATAAATGCTGCCAAACTGACAAAATTCAACATATATTCATGATAAAATCATGAATATAAACAAAGCATAGATGAGAATGTCCTAAATCTGATTAAGGGAATATAAAAGCCACTTTCTGTTTGGTAATAAAATGATGAACTTTTTCACTTTGTGATCAGGAATCAGATAATTACATTTGTTATCACTACTGTTTACAGCTGCATTCTAGAAAAAAAAGAAAAAAGGTATTAAAAATGTTAAAGAAAGTATCAGACAATGTTATTGGACCTATTTAAAATAAAAAGTAATCTAAAGATGCAAATCAGAAACAAAATAGTAAATTTGCTCAATTAAGAGACCACAATATACAAGAGTCAATTGTACTAATACAACTGTATGTTGTACTAGCACCAATGGGGAAATGGAATTTTTAAAATGCCACTTTTAGTAGCATCAAAAAACACAAAGTGCCTGGGAATAATATAACAAAGACATCATGACCTCTACAATGAAAACTACAAATATTGCTGAGTGAAATTAAAGAAGAATTAAATTAGTGGAGAGATATATCATGTTCATAAATTGAAAGGCTCAGTGTAGTTAAATGTCAGTTCTTCCAGATTAATATAAGGATTTAATGCATTCCTAATCAAAACTCCAAAGGGCCTTTTTAGTAGAAATTCACAACCTGATTTTAAAATGTATGTGGAACTGTAAGGACCTAGAATAACCAAAACAATTTTGTGAGCGAAGAACACTGGAAGGATTTATCCAACCTGGTTTAAGACTTATTATAAAGTAGTAAGAATCAATGCACTTTGGTAGTGATGAAAAGATAGACATTTATCAGTACAATAGACTCATGAGTCCAGAAGCAGATCCATAAATATGTATACTGACTATATACATATACATACAGTGAAGAGATTTTTGACAAAGTTGTCAAGGCATGTCATTGTGCAAGGGAGCATCTTCAACAGACGATGCTGGATCAAATGGATATCCATATAGAAAAAAAGACCACCCCTTATATCACATCACATATAAAAACTAACTCAAACTGTATCATAGACCAAAGTGTAAAATCTAAACTATAAAACTTCTGAAAGAAAACATAGCAGAAAATTTTATAACCCTGTAGTAAGCAAAGATTTCTTAGCTAGAAATCAAAAAGCATAAAACATAACAGGAAAAAAATGATAAATTGGAATTCACCTAAATTTATAACTTTTGTTCTTGGACAAATGTAATTGTAGAAATCAGAAAGCATACTCAGGGTGGGAGACAAGATTGGCAACACATGTATCTGATAGAAGACTTATATAAAGAATATATAAAGAACTACTGCAAGTCAATTCTAAGAAGACAAAGAACCCAATTTTTTAAATGGGGAAAACATTTGAACCCTTTACCAAAGAAGACATACAAATAGCCAGTAGGATGTAAGCTGTTGCCTGAGGACAGGGATAGAGAAAGAGATGGATTATGAAGAAGCACAGGAAACTTGTACGGTGAATAGAAATGCTTACAATGATCAACTTGTAGATTTTAAGTACATACAGCTTATTATACTTCAATTTTACATACATATGAAATAATCATTGTGCACATATATGGAAATATATATCACAGTAAACTAAAAATAAAACTTTAAAAAATGATACCATTGACAAAACTTCAAGAAATATAAAATGTAAAGAATAAATATAACCAAACATGTACAAGACCTCTTCAGAGAAAATCACTGAACTTCATTGATAAACATTAAAAGACTTAAATAAGTGAGTTTACCATGTTCATGGAATAAATATTCAATACTTTAAAGATTTTACAGAATTCAATTCCTGCAATTAATCATAGACTGAATTCAGTCCCACTCAAAATACTAAGCAGGTTAATATGTGTGTATATGTGAATGGAAATCAACAAGCTGATTCTAAAATGTGGATGAAAATGTGAAGGCCCACTGTAGCCAAGACACTGACAGAGAAGACAAAGGTGTTAAGATTTGCTCTGCCAGATACCAAGACTTGTTATAAATCTAAGGTAATGGAGATTGGTGTTGGTGCATCAACAAACTGACGCATTTGTCAGCCAAACATACAGCCTAAAAACACACAGATGCTTATGTGCATATTCAATGAATGAGTGTGGCATTCCAGATAAGTGGGAGAAAATGGACTTTTCAATGAACTGTGCAGAGAAAATTAGAATTCCATTGGGGAAAAAATGAAATTGAACCCTTGCTTCACATCACAAACAGAAATAAATTCCAATTTTATTTAAATGCTAAATGCCAAAACAAAAAGTATAAAACTTGTAGGTGATTACCTATGATACTATCTTCAATACCGTATTAGTCTGCTCAGTCTGGTAGAACAAAACACTAAAGCCTAGTTGACTTTAAACAACAGAGATTTGCTTCCTCTCAGTTCTGGAGGCTGCAAGTCCAAGATCAAGATGCCCGCAGAGCTGGTGTCCTCAGAGGCTTCTCTCTGTGGCTTGCAGGTGGCGGCCCTCTGTTGCCCCCTGATATGGTCTTTCCTCTGTGTGCATACCTGGTACCTTCATGTAGTGTCCAAATTTCCTTGTTATAAAGACACCAGTCAGATTGTACTAGGGCCCACCCAAATGATCTCGCTGACCCTTAATTACCTCTTTTAAGGCCTTTTCTCCAAGTGCAGTTACATTCTGAGGTACTGGGGGTTAGAGCTTCAACATCTATATCAGGGCAAGCACAATTCGGCCTATACCAGACACCTTGGGGGGTAGATGAAGATTGCTTAGACAGGACATAAAACGCACCAACCATAACAAAATTGATGGATGTAGCTGAAATAACATTAAGAACTTCTGTTCATGAAAATCAGCATAAAGCTCATGAAAAGACAAATGAGAAGAGAACATTTTTGCTGGATTTATAACTGACAAAAGACAGCTATACAAAATATACAGAGAATTTCTATAAACCAAAAAGACAAGAACAACTCAAAAGGGAAAAGCTGGGCAATAGACTAGAACAAGAACTTAAAAAAGGAAGAAAATCAAATGTCCAAACTACACATGAGAAGGTGCTCAACTCCCTTCATAATGAGGAAATGAAAATGAAATTCACAAAATGCAAAGTCTTACAATAAATACCAACTGCCTTAAGGATATGCAGCAAAGGGGAAGCCCATACAATTCTGATGAGCATGTAAATGGTATAAATAACTTTGTAAAACAATTTTCATTTTCTAATAAATCTGAAGATAAACAACATACCCTATGACCTGGAAGCTTTTTTCTTGGGTATAAACCCAGAGAAATTTCTACTGTGTATGTAGAACATATTATAGAGGTAGAACTGGAAGCAACCTATGTCTGACAAAAATCAATTTAGGGATTCTAAAAAAACGGTGATATATACATTTGATAGAATATAACAAGGACAGTGCATGAATGACAGCCACACATAACATCTTCATGAGGCTTACCAATGCTATTGAGTAAATGAAGTCAGAAAAAAGAATATATTCACTATATTTCCATTTATGTTTAATTCAAGAACAGGATACTCTTAACTATGTTGTTTAGTAATGCATTTATTATAAGAGACAAAAATATTTTTAAAAAACAATGATGTAATTATTGAAAATATTAGGATGGGGTTAGCCCCTGGGAGAGCAATAGATTTGAGACCAGGTCTGATACTGCACAGGGAGAGAGGGAAGGAAGAGTTTCCAACTGCAGGAAGAATGGGTTGGCCAAGTCCAGGTGCTATCCTTGAGCCAAAGCCCTAATGGAGGGGTCCTGCACGATGCTTCAGTACTGGGCCATGCCCAGTCACTGCTGGCTGCAGCCTGTGAAAGGGTGGCTTCAGTGTAAGTGTGGGGGTGGACGAGAAGGGATGGCAGATGGGGCAATTGGCCAGTTTTGCTTCCTGCAGCAGGACTGAGGTCTGAGCACCTGCCTCTCGAGAAATACATCCCTTTACCTACTGGTCATCTGAAATAAAAATGCCCTTTTTATTGCCTAGTCAATAGCAGAGTCGCAAACTGACTGCAATGGGCTGAATCTGGCAAAGACTTTTTTTAAGTTTTGTTATTTGTTTTGGGTTACCTGGGAATAATATAACAAAGACATCATGACCTCTACAATGAAAACTACAAATATTGCTGAGTGAAATTAAAGAAGAATTAAATTAGTGGAGAGATATATCATGTTCATAAATTGAAAGGCTCAGTGTAGTTAAATGTCAGTTCTTCCAGATTAATATAAGGATTTAATGCATTCCTAATCAAAACTCCAAAGGGCCTTTTTAGTAGAAATTCACAACCTGATTTTAAAATGTATGTGGAACTGTAAGGACCTAGAATAACCAAAACAATTTTGTGAGCCAAGAACAATGGAAGGATTTATCCAACCTGGTTTAAGACTTATTATAAAGTAGTAAGAATCAATGCACTTTGGTAGTGATGAAAAGATAGACATCTATCAGTACAATAGACTCATGAGTCCAGAAGCAGATCCATAAATATGTATACTGACTATATACATATACATACAGTGAAGAGATTTTTGACAAAGTTGTCAAGGCATGTCATTGTGCAAGGGAGCATCTTCAACAGACGATGCTGGATCAAATGGATATCCATATAGAAAAAAAGACCACCCCTTATATCACATCACATATAAAAACTAACTCAAACTGTATCATAGACCAAAGTGTAAAATCTAAACTATAAAACTTCTGAAAGAAAACATAGCAGAAAATTTTATAACCCTGTAGTAAGCAAAGA